GGGCGGCGGCAGCCGGGGGGGCGCGGCAGCTGATAGGCGCCCTCCAGGACATCTCCGGCCGCTTGGAGATTCGCGTCGCCCGGCCGCCGTTCGGCGCCCCCGAGGGCGCCGCCGCAGCGGCCGCTGCTGCCGCCGCCGTAGCAACGGCGGAGGCGGCGCGCCTGCACCTGCTGCCACTGCTGCAGGCCGCGACGGCGGCCGCCGCGCTGTCCGCAGCGGCGGCTGCGCAGCGGGCGCCGCCGCCGAAGACCATCGAGCTTGCGGCGTCGCAGGAAGAGCCGATGCATGTTGATTGCGATCTACGAGATGACCGCGCGGCGCGGCCGCTGGCGGCGCCCCTGCATGCGGGGCGGGAGGACGTGGCCGCGCTGCTCGGGCCGCAGCTGTGCCTTGCAGTCGCGTCGGCGCTGCTGTGCGCGGGGCCGGCGCTCGTGGTGAGTGCCGGCGTGCAGGAGGGTGGTCGGAAAATAATCAGTGTGCAGGACCTTCAGCAATGGCAGTACCAATGCGTTGTCAGCATCCACTGTGGGGTCTGGACTGCCCGCTTGGACTGCAGTGCTTCCTTGGGCTGCTAGCTGCCGTCATCAGACATGGGGATCCCTTCCGGCCCCAGAGTCTAACGCTCACACCCCACACACCACAGGCCCTGCTGCCCGACCCCTCGACCTTCTACAGCGGCGCCCCCCTCCTACGCCAGCTCAGCCTCCTGTCCTCAGAAATCTCGCGCCTCGGCCGCCTGCGCCACGGCGCGGTCGCGGACGTTGCGGCGGCGCTTGTGGGCGCGTGCGGGCTGCTGGAGGGCGCCGCGCAATCTGCTGCAGCGGCGGCTGCCGCGGCGGCGGAGGCGGGGGCGGACTTGGACGCAGGCCGAGACGCGCGGGCGCGCGAGGTGGGGTTGAGAAAGGGGACATGGAGGGCGTGCTCATGGGCCCACTTTGCACGGCTGCCCCCTTGGTCTTTTCATCATGACGGGGGTTGGCATGGAGCCCACACGCTGACAGCCCAGCCGTTCCCCAGAGTGGCATTCCCGGTGTGTCTGCAGGGCGCCTGCCCTGCGGCCAAGGTGGGCCCTCAACGGCTGGCCCTGGCCGCTGGTTCAGCCCGTTGAGCGGTTCCCGCGCCCTGCTCGCCCCCGCCGCAGCCCGCCACCTTGGACGCCGGCTTTGACGACGACCTCGACTTCGGAAAGGTCCCCGCCTTCAAGCGCCCGGCCGCGACACCCGCGGTGCTCACCACGCACCCAGCCACCAACGCCGCTGCCGCCCTGCAAGCGACGCAGGTCGCCGCCGCCGCCGCGGCCGGCTCGGCGGCCGGCCACGCGGCGGCGGCGGCGGCCAGTGGCGGGCTGTTTGGCGGCAAGGCGTACGGCGGGGCACAGGGTGTTGAAGGGTCCGCGCTGCGCGTGCTACGAGCCCTGGCAGAGGCGGACGGCGCGGCGGTGTCGGGCTGTGTGCTGCGGCTGTGGCAGGCGGTGCACTCGACGAAGGGCGCTGCGCCCGCCGAGCAGCTGGTCGAAGAGATGGCTGATGTCATGGTGACGGCGGTGTGCTCAGGTCCGCACGTGTGTGTGATTGAGGGGGAGGTCGGCCCGATCGAGTGCGCGCGCGACCATGCGCGTGCGTGAGCGTGTGCAAGCTATTGTACCTGGCAGTGCTGGCGATTCAAAGCGGTCCCCGCTCGAGCGCAACGCGTCGGGCTGGCCTCGGGCTGGCCTTGGGCCAGCCTCTCCGGTCATGACTCATGGTGCCCCTGCATCAACACATGCCATGCCCCAACGCACAACGTACAACACAGGCACCTGGCTCGACGCGCGGTCGGCCGTTATGATGCTCGACCAGCGCCAGGGGCTGCTCAGCGGCAAGGCCCACGGCCCCGCGCGCGTCTCCGCCGCGCTCGCGCTGCTCTGCCGCCTCGCCGCCGCGGCCGCCGCGCGCGGCGCCGCGGGGGCGCTGCTGGAGACGCGGGCGGAGCGGCGGCGGCACGAGACTGCGTCGGCTGGGGCACAGGGGGAGGGGGAGGCCATGGAGGATGACTGCGAGGAAGAAGACACCGTCATGGATTCGATGACAGACGTGCGATGACAGCCCCTGGACTCGTCCGCACAAACCTGGCGGCCAGCCGGAGGGGGGGGCAGGCGCCTGTTTGCTGATGCCGGCGGCACAGCAGCCGGCTCTGATGTAGCCAGGCAGTTTGGCTAGACCACGTGTTGCATTTGGTCCATCAACAGAAGCCCCAAAGCTCCTGCCCGCCCACCAATCCAACAGGTGCTGTTGGAGGCGTGCGACCGCATGGCTCACATGCAGATGGTCGACCCGCAGGTCTGTGGTCCACGGCACCCACCGCCAATCGCCTCGCGCACACCCGAGCCCCGTTGCCCCTCCCTCGCACTCCCCACTGGCGGAGCTCCGCCCTTGATGCTGCTGCCTCGTCAGCATCGCTCGCGCCCTACCAATCGTGCCTCAATCACGGACGCTACCCCCTCTCCGACGGCTCGCCATCGTCATGATCCCTCAACCCACCACCATGCAGGGCGGTGAACCACATGACCCCCTCCCAGATCACCTGCGCCTGCAGCTGGGCCGCACCCTGGCAGCCTTCACCCTGCTGCACCCCCAGCTCTTCGGCCGCGACGGCCAACTGCGACCCCTCGCGCCACAGCTTAAGGCGCTGCTCTTCGACGGCAGCTACGCCGTGCGGGAAGCCGCCGGGCAGCTGCTCTGCCTGCTGCCGATGGCGGCCGGGGAGCCGCTGCGGATGATGACGCAGGAGCTCGAGGCGTTCCTCCCTTTGCAGCTTCCGAGGCAGCTGCAGCGCGCGAGATTGGGCGGCGCGGTGGCCAGCGGCAGCGACAACTTGGACGGAGGAGAAGCGGAGCCCGCAGGCATGACCTGGGAGACCGCGGCAAAGAGGCTCGCCAACGCTGCGGCCGGCCGCGACGGCGGGGCGGCGGGCGCGCTCGCCCTCGCGCCGCTGTGGGAGACGGGCGTGCTGCAGCTGCTGGAGGCGGCGCTGGCCGCGCCCGCACTGGAGCAGCGGGCGCTGCTGCTGCTGTGCGGGCATGGCTGTGCTGCGCAGACGGCTGTTGACGCGGCTAACCTGCAAGTGGGTTTGCATCGGTGGGACGTTGAGGGGCTGCATGCACGCACGCACGCACGCACGCACGCGCACGCGCGCACACACACACACACACACACACACACACACACACACACACGCACGTGCACGCGCGCACGCATGTGCGTGCGCACAGTTTTTGCAGCCAGGGGGCAGACCTGTGTTGTGAGGGGAGTGATTGCAGCAGACATGCACCTGAGCAGTGAGGCTGCCGCGGCTTGCATTCATCGGCTTGGCCCGGCCTTGCAGCTCCTTTGACGTCTGCCGCCCCTCACGCCCACAGGAGCGGGTGCTGCCGCTGTGCGCGGCCGCCGCCGAGGTGCTGGCCGCCTGCAGCGGGTACACGCCCGACCGCACCCCCTGCGCCCTGTACCACGGCCCCGTGCTCGCCTGGGAGTGGCTGGTGGGTTGCTGGGGCCTGGCAGCTTCCAGGCGCGGGGCGCATGGGTGGATCGTCCTCCTGCACTTGCGGGCGGTCAACTTTGTGCTACACGCAGGAGCGCGCACCTGCTCACATGTGTGAACACCCACACCACAAACAAGCATTCGCCCACAACTACTTGAATACACACACGTCCATGTATGTACACCCCTGATTCCTTAGGTCACCACGGGCCTCGAACTGCGGCAGCTGCTCGCGGCCCGTCACGTGCTGGCTGCGCCACGCGCCTTGAGCGCCTCGGTAGCCGCCGATGTCTACACCGTCGTGCCTGGTGCGCATGGGAGGGGGATTCTCCTCGGCAGTGCATTACAACGCAGCTGTGGCTAAAACTTCAGCCACCCATCGCAGTGATTGCTGCACACGTAGTTGCATGTTGAATTGCCATGCAAGGACCTGCTAGCTGTCACTGCGATAAAGTTCTCCTCACCTCGCCACCCTGGCGTGCTCCCACAGAGCCCGAGTTTGCGCGGCGCTTCGGCGGCCCCCTTCTGTCCGCGCTCGTCATGCGCCGTGACAAGGCCGGCCTGCAGCAGCTGAGCCAGCTGCTCGGCCACGCGTCCCCTGCGGCCATGATGGAGTCGATGTTTGGGCAGGCCATGGGGCCGCTGCTTGCGCTGGCCGCGTGCCCGCAGCAGTGCGCAGCGGCGGCGGCGGCGACGCGGGACGAGACGCTCCTGCCTCTGGCCCGGCAGGTGCAGCGGGAACAGCACATTGCTATGCCGCTTGATTTTGCCGATTTCGCTGCAAAGCTGCATGCTACTGACTATGCATGCTGCTCTCTTACGGGCCCATCAACCTTCCCCACCACACACAGTTACATGCACGCTCGTGCGCACGCCCCATCAGCCTTTTCCCCCACACACAGTCACATGCACGCTCGTGCGCACGCGTGCATGTGCGTGCGCGCCCGCGCGCACACATACACACACACACACACACACTTTCACCCACGCATTCCCCTTCTCTCTCTACCACAACCCAACCCTGTGATGTCTCTCTTGCAGCAAGAGCTGCTGGCGCAACGCCTCAGGAGCGTGACCGTCCACGCCCTATGCGCGGCAGCACTCGTCCCCGGCAGCGGCGACCTGGCGCATCTCCAGCAGCAGCAGCAGCAGCAGCAGCAACAACAGGGCGGCCCCGCGATGGGCTCCGCGCTAGACACCGTGCCTGGCACCGTGGGGCAGCCCACAGAGCCGCTGGTGCAGCCCAGCACGGCCAGCGCCTGCGTCAGAGACCTGAAGGTCGGGCCCTTTCGGGTCTTGGACAGGGTGCTCTCTTTGCTTGATGCATTGCATGGCAGCACAAGGGCTGCCTCAAAGCCAGGCAGGATAGCTGGGCGTGCTTTGGGATTGCCCACATCAAAGCACCCAAGGGAGCGAGTTTTGCACAAAGTGACGCCCTCATTAACGGGGCGTGCGCCACAACCCGGCGGGCTGCCACAGCGAGCGAGCGGCCTGCGGCGCGGCTGTTCGGCCGTGTCGCGTCCGCGTGGCAGTGCCGCCTCAGATGTCTTCCCATCCACTGTGCCTGCCTCAAACTCTTGAGAGTGATCCCGGGCTCTCATATCCACTTTTCCCCCTCAGGCCCACCATCCATCGTTCGACTCGGACGTGCTCGAGGCCCCCCACCTGCCGTCACTGCTGCTGGGCGTCCACCGCCACATCCTCGCCGCCGCATCCCCCGCCCACCGCGCGTCGCGCCTCGGCGCGCTGCTTGCGCTTATGCAGCTCCTCGGCCGCCGCGCCGCGACGACCGGCGCGGCGCAATACATTTCGGCTGTGCTGCTGCAGCTCGCGCTAGACCCGGCCGCGGCGCCGGCGGCGTGCGCGATGCTGCGCGCGCTGTTTGGGCAGGTGGCCGGGGTGTACCAGAGCCCCAAGAGCACGCCCGAGCTGCGCCACACCAGCGCGGCGCTGCTGGGGGCGCTCCTGCAGGACGCCGCCGGCGTCCTGGTGGCGGTCGCCGAGGCGGCGGCCGCGCGGGGCCGGCGCCACGCCGCGCGCCAGCGCTCGCAGGGGCTCGGCGGCGC